TCTATTGTCACCTGTGACATCGTATAAAAGTGTTGTATCTAGAGTAGCTTTATGGTGTTCATGTTCAGTTGCTGGACGTATGCACAACTTTAATTTGATGCTTGAAGAGGTATGTAGATTAATAATATATGTCATACAGTATGTGATGTGGAAGATTCCTGTCCCTCCCAAGGTAATGGTCCTTTTTTGGACTGTGGTTCTGCATGACCTGAACACTGATGGTTTGCTCCAAGCTCATAGGCTGAATTGTGCTATGGTGTGTTTGTGTGATATGCTTTAAAGATGTTGGATCTCATAATCAGCTGCTTCTGCACTGTGATATGGCTTGGAGTCTTTAGTCTTGTCCATTTTATACTTTTGGTGTTTCTTGGGTTATTCCTTTTTATCTTGAGGGTTTCTGTTTTCTCTACTCTGTGATGTTGGTGGGAGGAAGGAGATTAGGTTTTAGGTTGTGGGCAACTTTTGTTGGGCTGCGGATAACCTGGTTAGATAGAAATGCCAAGATTTTCAGAGATGGTAAATCTCATATTTTCCTTCTTTTTGGTTAAGGTGTCTTTTCTGGCCCCCATTTGGGTAAAGGCATATGGGTACTATAAAGATTGTTCTTTGTTTGTGCTGAATTCATTTTTTATTTTTTGAAATACAAAATGGTAAGTGTGTAACTTGAGCACCAAGGGGGTGCAACCCATATACAAGTTTACAAGATATTTATTGTGCTGAATACATTGGCTATAATCTTTTTGAGTACGGTAGATTTTTCTCATTTTCTTTTATTTTGTTCTGTTTCTTCATAGAAGATAGCTGGTCCTTGTTGTATTTCTCTTACTCTCGCTAATAATACTTATTTTCTGTAAAAAAAAAATTATATTAGTAAATAGATATATTGATTACACTGAAAATGATAAAACCAAAGGTTAAAATGTATGTATATTAGAGGAGTCTATCACAAGAGGGGCCTTTATCTTTATCCTTTATCTAATGATTGCATGTAGTCTCTATTGCGAGATGATGTGGCTCTTAGACATCAATCTTGTGACTTGGCTGGTGAAATCATGTCTTGGCCGAAGGCTTTGTGAAGTACTGGCTTGTGTTGAACTTTAAGCTTGCCTGTTTTCAATGTCCCTTGACAAAATGATAATTCCATACAGATGTGTGAAATAAGGTTGGTACAGAGAGGTGACACCATTATTGTAACTAATGTTAGTTGATGTTTTAGCTATAGGGGCATGTGAGGCTCATGCAATAAAAACCCCAACCAAATGACTTCGGCAGCAGTAGAGACTGTGATGATATCTTGTTACCTGCCTTATTTCCATTAAAGTAGGCTGTTAGCTTAGGCCAGGGCGGGTGGAGTAAGTTGAAGTCCATGGTGGATGGTGTCCTTCCGATGTCAGGGCAGTCTAGTTTGTTTCAGAAAGATTATGCACAAACTATGGCGGTTCATCCACACCAACCTCATCTAGCTATCTGATAAATACTGAAGTGCTCTAATGTTTGTTGATATTTTCTGGTGTCTGTCTTTGGGAAATCATCTTCAAGCTGGACTTTTACAACGTGCCGAAGGGGGCTAATAGTGTCCAGCATCCACTTTCTTGACAGCATATCAGACATATACGTGCATGGGCTCAGAAGTACAATTTTTATGATTTCATTTAACCTCAACTCCAAGGAAACAAAATGAAGATTGCCAAGGTCCTTTACTAAAGGAGGATTTGGGGAGCAGCATATCAGGCATATAAGCACCTCTTACAAATCTACAATGCACTCCTCTTCATAGGCAGACTGTAAATCAATATATCTAAAAAAATATGACTCCACACTTGCCAATAAATGGTGTGAATACTTCATAAGTCGTACAAGTGTTAGGGCATTGGATAGGCCAAATAACATTCCCAACCAATCATATAGCCTCTCCTTAGTTTTGTGGTACTGTC